GCAGGGTGGATACCAGGAAAATTGTGACCATAGATTTAATAAAAAAAAAAAAAAAAAAAAAAAAAAAGAGGAGGCAGTTGACCAGTGGTCAAAAGCAGTTGCTATTCCAGCTGTTCCCTCCCTGGCTGCAGGTCCTAGAACTTCCAGGCCTCTAGGTTGGCTCTCATTCCCCAAGGAGTAAGTGATCTGGGACCCTGCAGATAAATTCAAAGCATGATTATGGCAACTCCTGTGGCATATCAATGGATCACATCCTCTCCAGGACCCTTCCTCTTCCTGCTGCAACTGCATCTTTACATTTTCATTAAAGAGGATGGAATTGAAGAGTTTCCATCCTAGAGGAACCTGTTGGGTCTCTCCACATCACTGTGTGGGGAGGCCAGGGGTCAGGTTACTTGAGTGCTTGTCCTCACTTTCTCAGACACTTACTTGCCTGTTGGCTGCCAGACTAGAATAATCAAAGAGTTGCATAGCAAGGCCACTGTCCTATCTTATTAGGACTCAGCAGATGGATTTGGAGATATAAAAATGCCAATCTGTAAGGACCTTGGCTGAGCTCGGGACTACCCCTTAAGCCTAAACTTTTCAGCCTCAACAATTGTCCCTTTCCAGCAAGGCTCAAACACACGGATAGTGAGGGCTAACCATCTGAACAACAAGTTCTGCCACTGGAACGGAGCAGAAAAACTGCTGTCCTAGAAAACAAGTTGCTTCTACTGTTAGCTGAAGTTGTTCCCACAGGCCATGGGGTTGTAGTTTCACAGGACCTGCTCCTACCCCATCAGGTCTGTAATCACAGCACTAAGTTAAAGGCCAGCAAAGAGGGTGAGGCAGGATTATTCAACTGGTAAAGGCACCTGTCACCAATCCTGATGACCTAAGTTCAGTACCCAGGACCCAAATGGCAGGAGAAATGCTCTCACAATTTGTCCTCTTACCACCATATGCATGTGTGCCAACTCCAACCTCCACACAAAATAAATGGTTGATGTAATGGTGATTCCTGGGGAGAGCTGGAGTGAGGGATGAATATAATCAACATACATTGTATACACACATGAAATTTTCCTTTTTAAAATTTACTTTAGAGCTGGGCGTTGGTGGCACATGCCTTTAATCCCAGGACTCAGGAGGCAGAGGCAAGCGGATCTCTGTGAGTTCGAGGCCAGCCTGTTCTCCAGAGCGAGTGCCAGGATAGGCTCCAAAGCTACACAGAGAAACCCTGTCTCAAAAAACTAAAAAAAATTACTTTAGAGGTTTTACTTTTGTTTTATGAGTATTTGCTGGCATGCATGTCTATGCGTCACATGTATGTATTACCTACGGAAGCCAGAAGAGGGTTGGATCCCCTGGGCCTGGAGCTGTAGACAGTTGTGAGAAACCATGTGGGTTTTGGGAATTAACCCTGGGTCCTTTAGAAGAGCAGCCAGAGCATGTAGCTACTAAGTCATCTCTCTCTAGCCCCTATATGAAATTTCCAAAAAATTGAAAACTTAAAAAAGCTTCAACCTGTGACCCTGTGAGTGGATGGTGGTGGTACATTGGTGGTGCCCTGATACATGGGCAGGTAGTGGCGATGCAGGGCCTGGTACATACTTTCAGAGCCTCTTCATGCTGTAACAGAGGGCCCCCAAAAAGGGCCTGGGCAACATACAAGGAAAGTGCAGGGTAAGATGGCAAGCGAAGGTGATGATGAGGTGCAATCACTATAGAAGTATGCGTTTGCAGGACTGAAGGTTGCAACAGTTCTCATGCCCTTACTACTGCCACGAGAGGATATCCTAGAGCTGGAGGCTGGTGTGGATGAGTGATAGTCTGCCAGGGTCATGGAGCTGTGGCTGTTGAAAACCTACTGAGGCCTTCATTTTCATTTAGGCCTATTAGACAAGATCTGGGGCATGCAAGAACTGATAACAGAGCACATTCAGAAGGGTCCTGACCCAGGCGACCAGTGGCTCCCACAGGACAACTCCTGCCACAACAATCTCATTGTAGAAGCAATATTGGGGACCCTGTGGCAGGACCTAACCATAAGCAGGGCTTCCCATGTCCTTTCACTTGACTCCTTTGAAAGTTTTCCTTTTTAAAAAGGTTATTAAAAGGATAGGGCTTTTAATTTTCATATTGACTCAGTGGCATTATCCCTCACCCCTTGTTTTTCAAGACAGGGTCTCACTATAGAGCCTAAGATGGCCTAGAACTCACTATGTAGATCAGGCTGGTCTTGAATAGAGATCCACCTGCCTCTGCCTGCTGGGATTAAAGGCATGCGCTTTCTAATAAATCTAAGAAATGCCTTTGAAGCAGAAAAATAAAAATTCTCAAGCAATACTATTAAGAGTGGCAGCCAGGTGGTGGTGGCACACGCCTTTAGTGCCAGCACTCAGGAGGCAGAGGCAGGTGGATGGATCTCTGTGAATTCGAGGCCAGCCTGGTCTACAAGAGCTAGTTCCAGGACAGCCTCCAAAGCCACAGAGAAACCCTGTCTTGAAAAACTATAAAAAAAAAAAAAAAGGCACTCATGGGCTAGAGAGATTGCTCAGCGGTTTAGAGCACTGGCTGCTCTTCCAGAGGACCTGGGTTTAATTCCCAGCACCTACATGGCAGCTCATGATTATAAAGCCAGTTCCAAGGGATCTGGCACCCTCACACAGATAAGTATGCAGGTAAAACATCAAAAATAAAACCTAAAAAAAAAAATCAAAACCACCAAATGACACCAAGTATCTCACATCCCGTTTTGCAGACTCTACAAGAGAGTGTCAACAGGAGCACTTGTTTCTCCTGAGCAGCAGTCACTTCCTATTTTTTTTTTAAAGGTTTGTTTTCGTTTTAAGTATATTGGTGTTCTGCGTGAATGTATGTCTGTGTAAGTGGTACCACATAGTCAAAAGAGAGCATCAGCTGCACTCGAACTGGAGTTACAGATGGTGTGAGCACCCAAGGGTGCTCAGAATCTGGGTCCTCTAGCACAGTCAGTGCTCTTAACCTCTGGGTCATCTCTTTAGTCCCAATTCCTTTTAAAATTTCTTTTATTTTTTGAGATTATATTACCCCTTTCCTCCCTTTCTGAGAACTCAGTTCAGTTCTCAGCACCTACTAGCTCACAACCATCCAATTGTGGACTGGAACCAGTTCCAGGAGATCCAATGCCCTCTTCTGGCCTCCATGGGCACACTGTATATTCATGGCAAACTTACAAACATGAAGGCAAAACACTTATACACATAAAATCTTCTAAATGGAATCTGGAGAGGTGGCTCAGCTGTTGAGAGAATTTGATGCTCTTTCAAGAGGACCTTGGTTTGGTTTCCAGCACCCACCTTGGGCATCATATAGTGACTTGTAATTCCAGTTCCAGAGAATCTGATGCCCTCTGTGACCTCAGTGGGCACCTGAACCCACATAGTGTCCGTACAGGCGAACACACACACACACACACACACACAAAGGAGTCTTATTACAATAAAAATACATTAACAGGCCAGAGAAATAGCTCAGCAAGTAAAAGTACTGGCCACACAAAAGGAATATATTTTATGGAATGAAGCACTATTCAATCCCAGAATTGTAAAATAAAACCAATCCATGGCTTTAAATGAAATAAATAAATAAATAAATAAAACAAAGCAAATGCAGACCCTTAGGTTAGTATCTCCTGTTCAAGTGTGACCTACAGTCAGACATGTGGCTCCTGTTTATAATTCTGGCATCTGAAGGCTGAGGTAGGAGGACCACTGCGAGTTTGAGGACAGACTCAGCTGTAAAAAGAAAAACAAAACGAAAAGAGTGATCTAGGACATCCACATCACTTCAGAGTTTACTGAGAATATGGTCTTAAGTCCTCAGGGCCTGGACTCAGAACCACACAGCAGAGTCTTCAGATAAACTGCTAATCACAGCTGTTTCTCAAACACCAGGGTAGTGAGTAGGACTGTTTCAGCCTTCTAGGAAGGATCAACTACAATGGCTTTACGACCGCTGACTGTACTCCTAGCACAGAACAGAACATACAAAGATATTTATGCCCCGTGCAACAGACACCTGAAAAAGCACCCCTTAATGGCTAACCACAGAATGTCAAAGTCAAAGGGAATCTCCAGAAAGAAGAGTAAGAGTCCTTAGAAGGATTCAAGATAAATTTTGGAACAGAAAAACCAGAATTGCATACTTGAATTTTTCTTTTGAGTTACAAGTAAGGAAGGGAAAGATAATTTAAAGAGAAACAAGCATGCCAAAGGGAATTACAACTAGAGGGAAATACATGTTTTAGTTTGTTTCCTGTGACACGAGAGAACCAAAGTGAGGCAGTATTCCCCAGGGGTGATGGTCCACATCTGTGTGCCTAGCAAGCAAAAAGGTTTCCTCCACTTGTCATGTTGTCTGTGAGAAACTTTGAAGACAATACGGCAGTTTCTCCAAAAGAACATGTTAAGGCAAGAAGCTACTTACAGCTCAATTTCCTATGTTGTTTCTAAATTTTTTTGAGTGATTCTCATAACACTACTGTAAAATTTAACCCAATTTTGTCCCACTTAACTGATCCTGAATGGATGTTAAGACTTCAAAAGCATAAATCTATGAATACTTTGGCAGGTTGGTACTTTTTGGGTGGTGGGGTTGTAATTTTGAGACAGGGTCTCTGTGTTATGTAGCCCTGGCTATCCTGGACTCACTATGTATACCAGGCTGGCCTCGAACTCAAGAGACTCACTGCCTCTGCCTCCTGAGTGCTTTGATACTCTCTTCAAATACCTCTTTTCATCTTAGTGGTTTTTTTTTTTTGGAGGGGGGGTTTCGAGACAGGGTTTCTCTGTGTAGCTTTGGAGCCTGTCCTGGCACTCGCTCTAGAGACCAGGCTGGCCTCGAACTCACAGAGATCCACCTGCCTCTGCCTCCCAAGTGCTGGGATTAAAGGCGTGTGCCACCAACGCCCGGCTATCTTAGTATTTATGTTAGTATTTTATAACCCATGGGATTGATACTATTATTCTACCTACCTTTTTGTTTTTGGTCGTGCTGGGGCCTGAATTCTACTTTATAGATGAGGAAACCAGGGAACAGATAGGTTAACCTTTCCAGAATTAGTAGCAAGGAAGGGATTGAAGTCTGATTCGATTCAAGGAGCTCAGCTGCTTCCCTAACCTGTAAAATAATCCAACAACTTAAAGGCTTTAAAAAGTTCCTGTTTTCTCAACTTTTGGCTTCACTTGCTGTCCTTTTGTTTGTTTGTTTGTTTTGTTTTTGTTTTTGGCTTCCTTCCCTTACAGACCTTTCATCCTGCCAGGGCCTGGGGTAACCACAATACAATGCCATGTGTCGAAACAGAGACGCATAAAGGCAGCCCATTAGGCAGCCCAGAGAAAGGGATGCTTTTAGTTGTGAAGGTAGGGAAAAACTTTTTAAAAGATCTGATGTGAAGCTGAATTCCTCCCACTATACCTAAGTGATCCAGAATTTATCCCAGACCACTGGAGAGAATAAAATGAGAAGTGACTTGTATTTATTTTAACCGAACCAAAGTGTCCCAAGCAGTCAGGAGCTATCTTCTTTCGCGTCTCCAACCCCATCAATTCCCAGTGAGGTCTACTCTACTCTGACACTGGACGTTTTCCGCTCGTTTTTATTATAAACAACACACTGAGTTAAATAAACCTGGGCTTATAATTATAAAAGGCTTCTACTAGGTTTGGAGCGTGTGCCCCCGGGCAGCAGAGACTGGTTTGCAGGTGACAACTGACAAGGGTAGACGCCTTGCTTTTCTCCTCGGCTGCATTCACTGTGCCAGGGAAGCAGTGGCCGCCC